GGTATTTTATTTTGTTGTATTATAACATATATCTCGCCCGGCGAATGCTTGTGTACAAAATTCTAAGAAAAGAAATGCAACTCCAATGTAGCAAATGCACCACACATTATAGAACCCATTGATGATTGTTAAGCGTTGTAGAAGTTTTCTAGAACTGAATCCACCAAATACTAGTTTAACCAACTGTTTCTTTTTACATTTATGACAGTAAACACATCTGAGACGTCTTCAATATTTTATAGGCTTTCATAAAGTTCTTACAATGTACGAAGTAGTGTTTTCTCATCTGTGGTTTTGAATGTTCGAGATACTTTTGCTTTTTAAATTTTATTTCCCAATAAACTTTAGGTATTGAGCGCTTCGATTGATTACTCGTGTAATGTATGAAATTATAAGCAAAATAAGCGGCTCGTCGGCCCATATACGATCGACGATTTTATATTTGAAATATTGTGACATGCTATTAGGTAAGTACCTATATTATCAATTTTTGAGTCTATACTGTGCTGTTGTATTGAATGAGCAACTATAAAGAAACAGAATTAGCATTCCAAGTTTGGGTGAAGATGAAATTCCGATATCGACTTTTAGATAAAAAATAATAAAGTGATAATAATAGTAACAAAACTTATTGTTCAAAAGTGAAGCTGGGTTATTACGAGAATCAAAGCGTGAGGAAGTAAAATATCTCAATCGTATAGTTTTGTCAAAGTGAGAAAATAGTGAAGAGACCAATAATACACAACAAGAATATTTTACACAGTTTCTTGTGATTTTAAGCTTTCAGTTTTCTTTTCAAATACCTATCTATTACGCCAAGATGGATGAAGTATGCTTTAGGAATAACGTTAACGTTAGGAATAACGTTAGACTACTACTGTTTACAGAACTTACGTTATTTAAGAGATCGTATTGATGCAACAAACTCATTATATAACCAAAAACGTGCTCATTGATTTATATTTTGTTGAATTTCTTATCATTAAATATAATTGTGAAACCGCAATCTGACGTGGAACATCTGTAGGTATTTCCTAGAACTTCTATAAAATTGTAATATACTATATTTTGATATATTGTGTGACACATTTAGTGAAAAATCGTGCGCCACCCATGTTAGCTTGAAATCTATTTGAGTCGTTTTTTCTGTTTTGAACGTTTCACTTGCGGTGGTCCACGAAGAAGAATGGTACTACAGATGGTTTTTGTCTTTGTATATTTCAAAATTTATATAAATATTATAGGTATGTGTTGAAACATAGTAACGTCACAGTTATAATTACGATTTGGTTGCTGTTATTATAAACTAGTCTTTTTTATGGCATTTGGCATTAGAATAGTTTTGTCAAAAATTATTCGAAAATTCTACGTTTTGTTAATTTTCACGTTCCTTCTGCTGAAATTTGTGAACACTGAAATCACGAGTCGCGTTTTGATGTTTTATTTTTTAAGCCACTAAGATTTGGTCATAATCCTAATTTTAGTGAGCTATATTTCCCCAGTTCTCAGTGCCTCGCATGTCGCATCACCGTGGACATCGATGTTTATTTTTATTCTTTTATTTTTTCTTGCAGAATTGCACGCTCAGCCAGATAAACAGGGTCATTATCGCGTGATCATCAGCTGAAGGACGTTTGGTAAAATTATAGGGGTAAATTTGCAAACCAAATATCAAAATTCATTGCATTTCGGATCGTAACCTTCGTGTCGGCATTGTCCGTCCTTATTACCGTTGTGACATAAGAAGTGGAGGATATCTTAAAACGGGCTGCAAGATTTTTTTTCTGTTTGTATTTTTTTATTTGAATAAAAAATTTTTCGAAAAGTGGTGACTGAGTATATCAGTACAGTCTGGAGACCGCCCCGTCAGTGTTGCTTTAATGGCAAATAATTGACACTAATGGTATTTCAACATATTAACAATATAGTAGGTCGGGGTATCGCGAGATTGAGCGACATCTTGTGAACAACGCTACAACCCATATTTTATAATCTACGCTCAGCAGCTCACAAGGTGTTTTGGGGGTAAGGGGTGTTTATTCTGGACAGAAAGACGACGTATGATAGAGTCCTAACGTTACGAGGAAGAAACTTTGCTGAAAAAGGTATGTGAACTCGGATTTATCTTATTCATCTGCTGAAAGAAATTGACAGAATCGAGACCTCCGTCTGAGCGACGAAATTGTCATGACAGGCTGTTCTCAAATCGGTCATATTGAAAAAAAAACTTTGTATTTTAAGAGGCCACTACGATTGTGACTTCTCTCACCCATTCAAATGGAAGGTATTAACCCAGTATTTACATTATGACCAAATAAGCAGTTAAATTAGCAGTTAAGTGGTCAATGAAGAAGCTCATATGAGCTAATTGGCTGTAAGAGGGATCGTTCAAAAAATGACTCAATTCAAATCTGTATTTGAGTACTTGATTTAATATATATATATATATACTTAAAGATAACAAAGAATATCTTGTTTATATGCGAGTAAAGTTGAGTCAAAATATATTTAATCAATATGACAACATATATATATATATATAAAACATTCTATCGTATAAATTCAACGAATAATATATGTATATATATTTGTATATATCATAACATGGCGTATATATTCAATCCATCCCAGACGTTGCATTTACTTTTCATTGAATTTGTTTCAATTCTTTCTCCTCGATCTGTAAATAGAATGGATTTGTAATCTGGTTCATCGTCTTCTTGAAATCTGTCCCAGTTTATTATGTCATATTCCTTCACTACAGCTTCATTCTGAATGCATTTGAAAGAGGTTAATTGAATGAATGAAAATACATTATGCATCCGTAGAAATAATAGAAAAGTGCTAATCAATTTTGGACTCGGAGAAAAATAATCGTGAAAATTTATCTCAAAACAAAAATTTATTGGTAGACTGAATGAACATGCATGCTGTGTTCCAATACTTACTTATTTTGTAGGATCATTCTATACTAACGATAATGTAATGTTGGATGTTTTCAGGGTTCAAAATATCATTGGTGAATGATAACATTTTACAATCTATTACCTCTCCATGTTTTCCGTTAGGATTCCCATGCTTAGCCATATTACTCCAATAATATTGTACACGATGGGCAAGTTTATATTGCAATTCTGGTTCATTATAATCTGGCATCATCGGCGATGGGTCAAATACTGAGGCGATTTCCGCCCCGTGGCAAGCTCTATCACGACATTCTTCGAATGCCCACACTGACTGTGAATTGGTATAAATTCGTTCATGTTAAATTTATTTAAAGTATTGTACGTAAAGCTGAATCGGGTGTGTAAACAATGGACGAGAACCTTCATTTTAGGTTATATTTATATAATATGCAACAAGAATCATACTGTCCTATATTTTACCCGCTTCTTTGATTTGTCATGAAACATAATCAGCAAATTTTATTGACGTTTTGTTCACTACAAGTTACCTTGAAGGGTAATGTTCCATTATACACGTAGAACCAAGAATCTTTACTCGCAACATGGGAGAACAATCTTGCAGGACATTGAAACACATAATCCGCTATAATGTCATTTACTTCATTTGTGTTGTCGCAGCACTGAAGTGAAACAAATGTTTGGCTATGTTTACTATCATTTTTATTTTATTTTTGCTTACTGTTTTATCTCAATTTAAGCTACGATAATATTGTCATTGATTTTGGCGCTAAGTCAACAAATCCTGTAATAATACTTTATATTCAATCTACCTAATAATTCGTAAACATCAAACTGAATTAGGTAAGTTTATATTATTCAAACTAACCAAGACGGATTGCACTGACTGATATAACATTGAAGAGTTTTGATCTATGGTTTCAGGAGAGCATAACAGGCAAATTTATTAAAACGAAAATATGGCTAGGTTCAGTATTTAACAACTATACGACAGCAGGAACAGCTCAGATAATTAACTTACATTAGGTGGGTATATATCCAACAATACATTTGCTCTTTCGCGAAGTATCGCATCAATAGCCAATTGATAAACAAACTGCGAAACCTTGCTTGAGAATATAAGTTTGACATATTGAAATCCATCATGAGTATTTCCTCCTATAATCATGGGAACCTTTCGGAAATCGCCCTAAAATTAAAAAAAAAAGTTGAATGGGAAAAGCAACTCCTGAAGAATAACGAATCATAGTTGTGTTTAAAGTTATCTTTAAAACTGTTGGTACTTTTAACTTGTTTTAAACTATCCTCCGTGAGTAATACACCGGCAGCTTCCCTTCATTCTACCTTATAAAATGTTGACTTGTTCTTGGATGTTTTTTTTTTTAATAATTCGCATTTACTTTATTTCATATTCATTAAGTTTTAAGGAAAATAGTTACCCGCTGAAATATACTTATTGGATTTTCATACAACAAGTTGCCGTCAATGACAGGACTCCATTGTTGAGCTTGCAGTAGTATACTTTCTGAGCTGAATAAATCGAACGGCACTCCAACAGAAGCCTTTACTATTTTCGAAACATTTCTGAAATAATAAATACATTGTTATTACGATTTTTCTTTAAAATATAAATCACTAAATATCTTACTGAAATATCTTAAAAAACTCACGTATTTCGAAGACACTTCATATCATGAGGATTACAACCTGCTTTTATAGCGAATTGTGATCCAAATTCTTTTGCAGAAGACATATTCCTATATGGAACAGATAGAGGATTGCTCTCCATTTATGACTTGGTGAAAAAGCCCATCACCATATGACGTGGTCAATAAATACCAATGACTTCAGCTCCGGCACTTTGTCCGCAAGCTGTTACCTGTGAAAACCAGAATGTCATTGACAGTTGCTTTGTGATAACATCAGTGGGTGCAACTACCATAAACCAGGGATATTTATTATCGGATTCTTTAGTTAAATACAGTCATACAATAAATAAGTTGTTCAATCAGCGACAAGTTCAAATTTTTTTTCAAATAAACAAATCTGCCAATAAAATGTAAAACAATTGAATACCTTGTTTGGATTTCCTCCAAAATACTGAATATTACGCTGGACCCACTTCAGAGCCATAATGATGTCCCAAGCCCCGTAGTTACCAACAGCTGCATCATCACCTTCTCCTTGCACAAGATATCCAAGGGCCCCAGTCGTAGCACAAAAGGGTATAGTTATTTTTTTATGACATGCATCGTTACATTTAATATTAAGGAAAATGAATAAATTTTTTCATAAAAATGAATTCTTGTTGTACGTCATCATAGGCCCCTATAACTCAGGTTCCAGACATTTGACACGCAGTAACAATTTTGTGTTATAGATTATTAGATTTGAGTAATGAACACAAAATTTTACTGTGTTACGCGCGGATAGGCTTTATCTATAATATCCCAAGAGGTGGGCAATTACTTTTCTAAGTGGGCCACTTACAGATAATAGACATGATTACTGGGTCGGATGTTTAAAACTCAAGATGAAATTATTAATGAAAAATAGTTTATTTACAAATAACAGGCGTCGATAACAATCGCCTGCCTTTTCGTTTCACTGATGTATTTCAATAGGTATTTGCTGCAAGAGATTCATTGAATAACACTGGAATGTTAGCAGGTGACGTGAGTGTACACAGAAAAATCAGATTTAGCTACTAAAATTGATGTACTGGACAGAAGAAAAACAACACATGTATTGCGGCATTGCAAAAACAGTACTTGAACCTTTCTAAAAAAAACTTATTTTGCGGGCCTAAACTCTAGTCTTGGGAGAGACGCCAGAGTTTTAGAATGACGCAAATGTTCCGAATGAGTAAGTTCGAGGTATATGTGGCCCTTTTTGCCCATTATTTTCAGGTGTGGATATTACAAGGAAAATTGGAGTATGTATTTTGGACAAAGATTCGTCATATTCATCAATATTTTGAGCGGGAATTTATATCCATAAAAATTACAGTCGTAATTTCAGCAGGCAGCAGAGATGGGCCGGATGAAACACTTCGGTGGCCCGGATCCGGCCCGCGGGCCGTGATTTGCCCACCCCTGATCTATCTAATCACATTATTCATCCAAGAATTGTTGCAGTATGTGAATCCCCTCATCCGCCGGTTGTGGGTATATATCTTTCTTGACAACATGGTATGCCATTATTTTTCAAGCCAGTGACGCGTGAATATTCAGTTATTTCTTACTTTTTTGTAACGCTATTTTATTTGATAGTTGAAAACACCATAAATCGATCACGCTTTCGCAAGATAAAGTCAGACAGAAAAACTCGTAACAATTACCTGTAATTAGCTGTTACAACAATGACATCTCCTCTATGTGCCAGAAATCGACCGTCGTATATAATTTGTGAACTAGAGCCATGTAAAAAATTTCCGCCGTGAAAATACACCATCACTGCTAATGATTCGTTTCTTTGTTTTTAATATTCGTCGTTTATAACGTAATGATGTCTTTTTATATTGGTAGAGTTATCCCTCTTGGCAAAGTATTCTTTCGGTATCCAAATATTCAAGTATAGACAATTTCTTTCGATGTCTAGAATATTAATCGCATTTTTTATTTGGACGAAATATTTTGCAAAATGAATTTTTGTTTCTTGGTGCAGTATTCAGAGAGTTTGCAAGTTAGATTTCAATAAAATGCCATATACAAATCTATAGATTGATAGTCCGCAAAGCATGGCGTCATCACGCAGTCAATATTTAAAAGTACTGAAGAATCCCATTATTTGACGAATATCTCAAATAATTATAATTTTAATAATACTCAAGATTTCAAATTATGTTACTCAATAAATAGCATTATAGCCTATTAGAATCCCGATTCCGCACAAACTCAAGAAACTCGATTACGCCATAAAAATATTCCTTCTGGCGAAATTTTCACCAATAGGTAATTCCACCAATGCAGTAGGAAAAGTACGAATACATGATTTACCTCAAAAACACACAGGTATTTGCGTCCTCTTTTATAGGGGCAATCCTGGGGACAGCCAGGTCTTTTATAGGTAGCGTTCCAGAAGTTATCTGTGAACCTTCTCCATGGTCTTGGCTTCTTCCATCTGTAATTGCCTACCGGTGGTTGACTGAATGGAATTCCCCAAAAAATTCCCGCTTCTGACGTAACTTCTCCAACGATATTACCCTGAATGCCTAAAAATACAGATAAAGATCAACTAAATTTATGATTCATCGAATGCAATATAGAACTTTAGTCATTTTGTTTATTTTTACAACAATATACAAATTGTTTTAATGGTGTAAGAGATATTTAAGTGTGCATTCAATTTCCACAACCTGATGAAACAAAATATCTATAATATTGTCCGTTCTAAATTGAGGTAAATGACATGAATCACCTGTTGTGAAAACTTGATATCTATCATTTTTCTGTTGCTGTTTTTCCTGCTCAGATGATGTAACATACGCCAGCTGGATAGACACCAGAAAATACGGAATAAAAATCTTTTTCAGATTCATACTCGGGGAAGTGTTGTGACGTTTATTATATTATATATTATGAATACTATACAAGACCGTCGGTAATTCTAAATGAAACGTTGATTTAAACCAAATTCAATTTCAACTAGAGCTGCGTGCAGCTTTAACAGGCTTCCCGCGTAAAAAAAAAGCCTAATTACAATGATATAAATCACGGTGACCGTACATTTGAACCCATGTACATTTGAACCCATGCGTATATCCACGGGTTCAATCTATATGCGGGTGCTAAAACCCATGGGTTAGGGTTAGTATGGGTTTAACTATCCGTGGCCAACCTGCTTTCGACCGCGATCGACTAAATCTTCAAAATAGATCACGATCGACTGATCGGTAATAAGGTCATAAACAAAAACGAATGGGTACTGAATAAAGCAACAAACTGCACACACGCACATACCGCTGTCAATAAGAAGGCTTTGTTGGACATTATTATTCAATGGACACAAAATTTGCATTTTTTATTTTCCATTCAAGTTGTTGATTTGATTATTTAATTGTACCCAGAGTAAATGTTTCATCATTTATTTAATTAAGATTTATTCAATCATACAATTCAGATATAAGCGTTAATTTTTAGTGGTGTGAAATTTTTCAAGAAACCTGCCAAGTATTCATGTATTATCCGAACAGCGAAAAAATAATATTCTTAAATCATGAATGTTTCATGACTGCTCAAACTTCAGTATCTAACTTCAATTTTCTCGAAATGCGTCTTCGCTTGCTTAAATTAGAACAAATTGGGCATTTTGATGCCGATGCTACCATTGCAAATAAAATTTATCACACTACTCTTGGAGTGAGACAATGACTTTCGTATACTGCAGAAGTTATTGTAGGAACGTTTGTCAGTCTAGACACGCGATATTCGTCACTTCATTTTTAACCTCGGCAGCGGAAAAATTTGCATTCGTTACGTAATATTGCTTTATCGGGCTGTATTCTTCCTGTTGTAAAACACACAACTGGTTCGAGGCAATTTTGGAGGTATTTCAATAAAATTCACTCAACATCAGACGCGATCGACTGCTCGAGACGTGTTGCCACCCCTGTTATAGATCACTTCAGGCACAATTAATTATATGCTGACATAAATGCAAAACAAACTATTGGAAGTAGTCATAATACTTGTAACTTTTACCAGTACAACTTCGTACTTACTTGTACAACTTTATTGGGTAGCACCCAATAATGTAAAAAACAAAAGTACTAGTATTGCTGATTATGAAAGTTTGAAAATGATAATTTTTCGAATCAGTTTCCGGTCAGAATATATTGTTCACGATTTTATTGCAAGAGCGATTATTCAATGTCATTCAAAAAAGTGCGCATACTGCCACAAAAATATTAGCATATCGATATTTTCAGGAAGTAGGGACGAACGCTTTAAATTAATAAATTTCCGGTCGTGTTGAATACAATCTGACAAGCTGATAGAGCTTATACTTCCGATCGCAGTTGATCTGTTCCTTATGATATATCAAAGTAGAAGTTGTACATCGAACACTGGAAGTTTTGTCACATAAATGACATTTAATAATGAAATCGGGTTTTACTAAAAGTACGCTGCATATCCCTTGCAGTAGAGCGACTATGACACTATCTCGATCCGTGAATAATTTCGAGCAATACTAGGGTAAGATCACGCGATATTACTTCGAACCATCATGGCGTTACCAACTAAAATTCTAACTTATTATGTCAAACGCCATGCTGCGGTTCACGGGTTAATTCCACCCTAAAGTGTTTTCACTGAAATTACCAGCCCTAGCCCCTAGTACAGTCAATGACCGAAAGATAATTTTCATATCAAACGTTCTACCCACAAATTTAAATACAATTCATATTCGAACCTATAAAATTTTAATCATTAATAACGTACGGCTTTGGAACTTTGATGTATTGAAGCAGAAATTTCCTGAAATAATCGAATTAATTAATATAGAAACCCGTATCAGGAATATTGCCCTAAAATAACTCTCCTAATCTCCTTTATGCCACATATGTCATTTGAACTTTCTGATTGGTTTCATTTTGCTAATTCTAATCATTCTTTCATAGATGTTTCCATATATTCATCAGTCTTCGAAACATATACTCAACAGTTCTATCTGTACTTGATTCTTGTCGTCGTATTATATATCTTAACAAATATACGAATATTCAAAATTGGAAAACATTAATTAATCACATGTCAACTATTTCCGTACTTTGCTAATCTCTGGAGCATTTTTCAGTCTTACGAAATGTTTCCCGATAAAAGGTATCGTATTTGTGATCGTGTTAAGCTTGGCACTGGGCTCAGTTTCAGCATGACGTCTTTTCTCGCAACAAAGGGCGCTACAATTCCAACAAAGTTATGAACTGTTAGGTGGCAAACTTGTACTTTCTCACTTGCAAAATTCACTATACATGCAGGCAAAATCCTCCTCTCCAGTGATAAATTAAACCCTGCAGTTGAATATAGCTAATCTAAATCATCGAAATTAAAATGATTTTATGAAAACTTTGCCTTTTTTGTAGAGAAGATATAATGTATATGCGATTTTTTTACTCAGTAGAGTTACATTATGATTTTTGTTCACATACAATAAAAAATCTAATTTTGAGCTAAAATGTAATGAGGGCAAAGGTCAGAAAAAATAAAAATGAATTTTGTATTTTAAAGAAACATCTGATTCATTGGGAATAATTGATCTCGATTATTGCATTGTCGTAGACCAGGGGCGGCCAACCCGCGACACGCATGCGAATGCCTCTTGCCACGATTTCATGCGGCTCTTTTAAAGAAAAATAACCTGCAAACTAAGATTTATCACGTTCCGGTTAAACATACTATGGTTCATTGTGCATTCTTTTTTTACATCGAAGACACTGCCGCAAAAATTCTTTCTATGCTTTACTTTCGCAAAATTTTTAGTGCTCATTTTATGGGTGATTTCGCAAGTGGGCGCCTGTAAACTGGGGAATGTGTTTTAAACCAGTGATTTCCAACCTTTCTACCCTGGCGGACCCGTAAAATTAAATTAAGTGTACTCGCGGACTGGCAAGAAATGAAATGACCGGAACAGAAAAGAATAACATATATTTGCGTAATATATCGCAATGTCGGTGCTTCTAGATAAAACAAGACACACTTAAAAACACTTCACACAAAGTAAAACTATCAAATAATGTGCCGGCCAAAAGTTGAAATGGGTGGAACATTTAAAATATATATCATATATTTGCGTAATGAAATGCAGTGCTGTTGGGCACCCATTATGCGTAAGACAGGCGCACATAAAACATCTCGCATAAAAAACATGTACATGTCAAATCATGTACAAACAAAATCAACTCCAGTGAAAATTTTGCTGCTTTTTTGTTCCAATATAAGATTGCAAACGAGGCCTCGAAGATGTTTCTGCAACACGTAACTCTGCAGCGTCGCGTCGTGCAGGTCATATTAATCAGGAAAAGCATGCAGAACAAAAAAAAACACGCGTGCAAATTTTTAGCTTTCTGAATTTTGGGAGTCTGATGGAGCGCATTCGCGATGATTCGGAACCGAAAAAGCGAAAAGTGTGATTACTCGGCGCCAAGTTGTCGCGAAAGACGTCGCCATGATGTCGCATGATGTCGTATGATGGCAGAAGAGAAATTGCGTAAAAACCAACGCAACCAGGTAAAGCGATTGGGACGGCATAAAAACTACAAAACAAATTCAAGCCTCTAAATAATTTTATCAAGCTAACCAATCTAATCCAGTGGTTCTAAAGTTCACCTCAAAAAGAACTAGCTAACAATAACAGATAGTAAGGCGAAAGTATGTTTTATTCAAAAACACGTTGAAAATGCGTGGACGGAACGTAAGTAGTTGTTTTTTGCTGACAAAATAAGAAATGTAAATATTCCGAATAAAGCAGGCAAGATCAAATCTAACAAATCTTTTTTCTCTTAATTCGCTTCACGCCACCTTAAAAATTGTCTACGCCCCCTATGAGGGGCGCACCTCACCGTTTGTGAAGCACCGATCCAATCCTATGTTCAGCTTTACTTTTATCCTTCTTTCTTTACTTGCCTTTTATCGTCTTACAGCTACAAAACCGTTTTGAAACGACCTGCGTTTTTTTAATCGATATACCAAGAGTAATGATCCTCTCAAATTAAGGTGACAACAGTATGTATAATGTTATCATTCATTTCGCAATTGTTTAACTTTTTTTTATTGTTGTGTCACCAGGAGGTGACGGTTAACGAAATATATCTTATCAACTCACTTCTATTTTAATGAACCACACAGATATTCGCGTGAATTACATCCGTTTCCAGTTTAAAAAACGAAGCCACGTTTACACGGCGTTCTATCTTATCACGCTGTGGTTGTCAGTAAAATCCGAGACAACCGTAGGTCAGCCTGGGACTCACTCGTATGTCGTCCTCCGCCTTTTTTCATTAAATATTTTTCGATCTTGTTCATGATTGGCATTAGTTTACACCTGCTTTGGCATTTTAAACTCTTGTTGTGCGGTATACTATTTTGTATGTGGACATTTGTATAAGTGGTGACAGATCATTGATATCCATTTGATTTTATGTAGGCTACCGGTCGCCTTTTTTAAATAGCTCATTTTCATATCCTACAACACAACAGCCTTGAAAATAATATCACGTAGGTCGTAGAGGACAGAGTCATCGTGTAAGCTCTCCTAGATATTTTCCTCAATAATAGCAACCTTTGAGTCGACGCATTGTATTTCAAAATTTAATTTATTGCTAAATTCATACAAACGTCAAACAAACATGTTCAAAGAAATATTAAATGAAAGTGAACCTACGTTATTGGCCTGTCATATTGTAGCCCGCAACATCGCTAAAAAGAATCGCCCGTTTGTTTGAGAGGAATTTTTTCCGCGAATATATGCTGCAAGTTTTTGAAGTCATTTCTCCTGACATAAAAGTAACCTTTCCATCCTCCGTCTTCCCAAGCTAGGGGTGTAAGTTTCGAATATTTTATTTTCGAATCGAATTCCGAATCGGAATGTTCCGATTCGAATATTTCGGAATCTGATTCTATTTAGTATTTAGTATAACATCATATTATCGTTAACTTTCCTTAATTTTGGAAGAACTATAGCATAAAGTGTGATAAGATATCGATAATGAACTTGAAGAATGAATATTGTTAATAGAAAAACACATTGAATGGTTACATCGACTACCTGATATATTAGAGAAGTTTTGTGTAGTTTGTATAGTGATCGTTTCTTCTAAACTCAACTTTCAATATTCATCCAAATGATAAACGCCAGTGAAACATGCGTTAGTAGTAGGCTTACCGTTTGCGCCGTATTTATAGAGGAAAGCAAATGATACCGAGTGAAGAAATCGCAGACCTAAGTTTCAAATGAGGAATAATGTTGTTATTATGATGACATTACATAGGTAATTAATAGAAACGTTTATATAATGTTAGATTTGTAAAACTTCTCAACATTTTGAATAGTCTAAAAAACATTGATTCCTCTAAAGCTGTGACCCATGCAAAATACTCATATTGTTCCGACTCGGGAACGCTGTAAACATAGGCGAAATAAACGCTTTTGGTCAACGATGAGATGAAATATAACAACCCCCGAGTAGTACGACGTGGGAACGCTTTAAACGCAAGGAGAACAAAAGCTTTTGGTCGATGTTGAGACTCGTCCCTGTTTTTTATGTAACAAAACAAGCCACAAGTAGCCATTTATACGGGGCCGCATGCTAGTTCAACAAGTAACTTCATTAGTCACTATAAGTTGCAAATTTATTGTTGAAAGTCGTGCTTGTTATTTATTCTTCGGGTATTCTATCACCTAACTATTATAATTATTAATTTTATTACATAACAAACTGCGATGCTAGGTGTTCTAAGTGATCTAAAATCAATCTTGCAGCCTATTTTAATGCCGTTGTTTTTTGAAAAATTTCTCCGGGCGCTTGAGTGCGCCCTGAACCCCAGCCGTGCCGTCGCGCCCTTTCTGCCGCTCCCCTTTTCTGGCCCGCGAATATTCCTCTGCTTCAATTTTTGGTCCGCGATTAATCAACTTTTTGAACCCCCTGGTGTAGATCGTTTGCCAAATACGTAACCAATTTTTATGATTTACAAAATATTCACCACCCCCTAAATTTCAAAACACCCCCACCTAAAATGAAAAGCTGGGGAACATACTGTCTCCGCCTAATTTTATCTCCGCATTACATTCATAGTGACAAAGACAAGTTTCAAAATCTCAACAAGTCGCTATAAAACCTCATCACATCACCCAAGTGTCAATTCTCAATATGAACCAGTAAGAAATTATAGGCTTACTCCCAACGACATTGCATGCTGTGCGTTACTTCCTGTTTGAATTTGTTTAATTGGTTCTTCGTTACTTTTCATTTGATTGCTATGGTTATTACTCTGAATTACTTATAATTAGTTTGGTCCATTTTCAGTTCACTGAGTTTTACCTGTTTACGTTTGCCATTCCGTTTTGTGTGCCGCTCAGTCTTATACAGCCTTGGATTTAGCTACTAAATAAAAGGGATCTGCTGATCACGCGTAAACCGCTGATGGGGGTTGTGTGGGGCTTATTAGTCACATCAATAGTACATAGTATATGTTTTATAGCATGTTTATGATAGCCTACAATTCACTATAGCAAATAGAGCAAGTTTACAATCATTCTAACAGCAACAGTGACAACAACAAGCATCGAAATGAACCATTTCTAGGTATAAGCCCAGTCAGTCAGTTTCCTCAAAATAGGATGGGGGCTTATTCGGATTTTGACTCCAAAATATGACACTAGATAATGTTCTCGAAGATGTATTTTTATTTCAATCTTAAAATATAAGGTATAAACAGGAGAATTTATAGATTTCGAAATATACAAGTAATACTGAAATCCATTTTCGGACTTTTCATTTAACTTATTTCCCTTCAACTTACAAACCACTGGTTTATACATTGAGCACATGACATTACCGTCAAGTCAGAAAGTAGGTCGGGAGTTTCGTTGCCACTCGAGCCGCTGAGGATTGAAAGGACAAGAAGATACTATTGCACTATGAGTAAAAATCTGTTGTTAGTGTGTACTCATATTCCCAATCGAAATAACGGCAGTCAATTTATACCCCCTGCCCTTTGTTAAAAAGTGTTCCCCAATCAGGTTCTGCTAATGGGACAGTTCTGATTAGAAACAACATGATTGCTGACCAACGTAGTGAATTCATTTTCTGGCATTTTGTTTAGAACACATATATACACATAATACCGTATGTATATTCCATTTATTACAGAAAATTATGAAGCAATCAATTTGCATGTAACGATATTGAAGGAAAGTCGAGTTGTGAACATATCAATAGCCTGGATTTTTCAGCTTCATTTCTTTTCAGGTTCTCCTTCCGAAAGTAAAAATTTGCTGAAAGCTGAAATATAAATATTAAAATAATTTTTTTTGGAAAGTTGTAAAGATCGCCTAATTTAATTAGGTTACTAAAGAACAAAATATTTTGAAAGTTGTCAAAGATATTTACCTTCGTAATTCATTTCTCCAGTATTGTCTTCCTGTCCTTTCATCATCAAACTGACCTGAGCCGATGTCAGTTTCTCTCCTAGTAAATTTAAAAAAATGTAAATTTAAGCTATTATCTCGCAAAACCTTAAATAACGACGAATTAAACTGATATTATACAAATATATGTAAATAGGGAGTAAGATATGAGAAGAGACTGTAGTTAGCCAATCATGTCTGTTGTTGACCATGCCGTGCTAGTAGTATTAAGGCTTTACACATACAAATTGTTTACTTAATTAGCTAGAATTATTTTATAAAGGTGCTGATTTCTCAGTTGTGTACGGCTTTACCCAAAGTTGTCAAAACATGTCGAATTTCAGCGCCCATTACTGTTCCCTTGCCGTCTTTATCGAATACTCTCAATCCCTCCACAAAATCTTCGAATGTTCCTTTTTGTCCCTCTTGGATAATTTTTTGAAAAATTGGAAGAAATTCCTCAACTGTTATTCGTTTTGTTTTCAGGTCTGAAATAAAAAAAATAAAATTATAATGAAAAATAAATCATTTGACGGTATTTCGGACGTGCATGCTTACTTCACCACGCAAATAAAACCTGTATTATTAAAAGCAACAAATATAAACATAATAATAAGAAGTAAATATTGTGCTTTGGTAAATATACCATCGGCAGACGGATTTCCCATAAATTTCGTAACGTCTTCGTTAGTTGGATCTTCCCCCATAGCTCTGGTAACATCACCGACCTGATGATATGCTATTTTTCCATCGCCAGTTGTATCAAAAAGCTCGAAAGCTTCTTTGATATCTGTAAATAAAAATCATTCTCTGATTTTATGTTGTGTTTTCAATCAAATGCGTATAATTAGTAAATAGAGTTATTGAAATATCTAGCCAAATACATCATACGCTTCCTCATATTTTATTGAGGAGCTCATGACTTCATTAAATCCTCATACTTAGAAATGAATATACTTAAAAAATCAAATTTGGTCCAGTATTAGATGATACCTACTTTCAATCTTTTCTTCGGAGAATTCAACAGCAGCCTAAAATCATAAATGTTAAAGTTAATAGTATTCTATGTTGCAGGTACACACATGCGTCTAAGTTCCGAGGTTATGCAATGCTTATTATGAACACTCAATTCATTTTGCTGTACGAATAATTCTGCACAATTTTTCTTGTTTCTAAACGCCCGAGCCTATGTTTCTGACAGTTTCTCAATCAAAAATTATCATTTAGAATCATGCTTCGTGTATGAACGAACATATGACCAATAGCCCAACTCTGTCAAATTGCGTCAACGAAAGTAAGTCCATCAGACCGCCTTAGCCATCGTCAGATACGAGTAACCTATAGACTTGTATAGTACTTACCATAGTTTAGTATTAGGAATAGTATTTATTGCTTTCCTCTAGAATGTTTTCTTTGCTAACTGAGTGACACTTCTCCCCAATCTGTGAGTTTTATACTGGTGAGACAAAAGCGCGAAAGCTCCTAAGGTGAGAAAATTCATGTTTTTCTTGCTAATCGACACTTAAGATCAGCTGTAAAATTAATGTCTGACTTTTGATGCGTTGTCATCACTTTTGTATTGTTGGTGTTGTATTCTCTGATGTATTATTCTTGAATGTTTTGATCTTGGCATATATACGAGATTGGCGATGATGTGCTGTATTGGTCGAGTACAATCATTTTCCCGTGGGGAAATCCAAGGTGATATATGTCTTCGCTCTGTTTCTTACCATGATTTAAGAGTAATATGCTCAAGGTATAAGGTTTTGTGGATCACAAAGTTGACCATCCCTGTCTGTAAACCCTAGGAGCTCATAAAGTTGACCTTTAAGCTGGCACATGGTAACAAAATATGACGACCAGTGCCAGAGCCTTCTCTCTTTGATTGAGAATGGCTATTATGGTATTTACATTTTATTGTATGAGCATTCCAATTGAGGCAATTCCAAGATAAGATGAATTTTTGTGGTCACAGAAGAAAGTAAAAAACTTGTTTATGACAATCGCGAACTATCGTGTTGTTGTTATTGTTCAGCAATATGTATATACCAATAATATTTGAGAATTCTTACTTAAAGATATTTACATTTAATAGTCGAAGGGAATAACTAGTTCCAAGATCGTCGAGAAATTTTTTTTAAAATGCCGTGAGCAAAGCTATGCATATTATTGAACTGACAAAATCATTTAAAACCGAAGACCTGAAAGTACCGGTCAAGGATTTTTATTTAGCATTGTTTCAAAGGTAACAAAGGCCGCAACTAGATTATATTACGCATGATAGGGCAAAGATAAAATAACGCTCTGACACATTACACCGCCAACTGAATGGAACGAACCGTAAAGACATCGACAAAACGACACATTTGTTCTAGTCTCTTGTACAGTTATGAAATGCGTTCCTGTGGATTGGCGAGCTTTGTTCTGTTAGTCGCCTAATTGACATGAGCTATAGTTCAGATTTGTAATATATCAAAGCAAAGAATTTTTAGATCTAGCTTTGAAAAGCATTTTTTATACATTGAAAACCGTTTGTGACGTTGTAAAACTGACCAAATTTCATATCTAGCGAGAGATTAGAATAAAACAAAATACGGAAGCTATTAATGATTTGTCTATTTACACCCATACACACCAACACTTTTATTGTAGACGTATAAATGTACATGTCCAGAATATATTTTCTATATACGATGTGACTCAGAATTGCTCAATCGATTGCAGATCATATTTTTTGAGTAAAGCTTCCATAAATATATTAGCTAGCAATGCTGTCGTATACAATGTGCTGATGGATTTTCAAAATCAGGAAGGTAATTAGCCAGCATAATTAAATTCGACTAGTATATGTTACGTTTTTTTTGTGACTTCTTTTAGCCTTTGCTGCTTTTATTTTCGTCTATTTTTTAATTAGGAACAATGGTGGAATTGGCTTGCGATGGTGATAGGATTTCATTCACCTGGAAAATAACATACGGAGTCACCGGATATTCTTTGCTTGTAAGAAACGCAAAAGATCGGAATCCTCTTGTCATCCACGAAAAGTTTTCTGCTGGTGACTGCCGTTATGAAGTAAATATGAATGAGCGATTACGATATGGTCAGGTATGTGAAGTTAAACTACAAACTTATGGACCTGGCGAAGAATTCCAAGAATCGGACTGGAATGTCTTCGTGATAGGTAAGTTCCGGCAGTAATTCATTGCATATCGATTAAAAAAACTCTCCTTTCGCAGACACGAAATAGCATGCCGTATTAAAAGGCATGTGAATCACGTTGAATACTGGTTCCCAAGTTTTCTTGTATATATCAAAATTAGCGTTGTATTATTTACAATGGAGAAGTCATGGAAATAGGGTTTTGCTTTTCCAAAAAAAAAAAAAGGATGTTTGAAAACAAGAGCTTGTTTAATCATTTTTTTACCGTTTGTATATATTTATTATTGAAATATCTTTTGCATCGCCGTGAAACCACTCCAAAATGTTGCGTTCTGGCTGCTGCACGCGCTGCCGGAATAATAATTTCAAAAATGTAAAAAAAAATTTTTGCTTTGGCTTTCACTTTATCGCCAAATTAGTACCTACACCTAAGATATAAGAATTCAGCGGGAATGTTTATCCAAGATATCAGGGAGACGCTTTTAGTGGAAAGGGCAAGAAAAATCACGAAACATATCTCACGGGGCTACTACAATCCAAAAACACTTTGATCAGGGTCCAAAGTCGGCAAACCTAGTGCGTTAATACGATATTGGAGGATATAATATACTTACATTGGCGGCAACCTACGTAGGTTCAAATCAGGGCCGATTGAGAAAATGAGACACCCTAGGCCAGGGGTGGGCAACCCCTGGCACGCGTGCCTAACTTTTGCCAGGAAGAGCGCAGTATTCATTTGGCTACATTCTTACGTAATATAGTTTGTCTGTGCCACCCTTTTTCTTCATTTCTGCTTGATTTATGAAGTTGTACAGCGCATGTTGGTTAGAGTTACTTGCTAACTTACTGTTATAAATTGACTTCGAAATAAATATAAGCGATTAGGGAGGGAATACAAGAGAAAAGTGCAGAAAACGAACTATTGTGTGATTGGGATGCCATTCCTGAATATTTCTGTGTCTTAAAAACTTTGCAACTGCACTGGCCGTGAATTTCTGTTTTCTGTTATGAACTTTATCAGTTCTCGTAACAAGAATAACCTGAAAGATGAAACCAGTAGTTCGTGTATTTCTCTGAAAGTTACAAAATATAAACCCAATGTAATATAAACCCTATCAGCGGTAATACAGCAGCAGAAGTCTCACTCATATAGAATAAGAAAAGTGATCAAATCTATTTGCCGGACTGATGTTTTCCGTCTGTACTTGTTTATAAGGTTTAATAGTGTGTATTTTTGCTTTGAAAGTAGCAAAGCGTTGTTTTCAATTTTGGTCGGCACGCGGGTGAATTTTGTTGTTAAATTTTGGCAAGCGAGCCGAAAAAGGTTGCTCACCCCTGCCCCCTCATTTCTAATTTTGGGTATGTTTTTATTTTTTAGGTGGCCCGACGGTTGCGATCAATCCAACGGCAGAGATAAACATTATGAACCCGCGGCGTAGTGCAATTGTGAATTGGATGAACCACAGGAGAAGCCGGATTACTATGAAGTCGTGCTATACCAAATATAGGAAAAGCTTAGAAAACAAAACTTGCCTTTTCTCTCGTGAATCATGAAGAGATTAAAAAAGCGACTCAAAATATCAATTTCTAGTACATGCCATTTCATAAGGAAAACAACAACCCGCAGAGTACCATCGGTGATGCAAAACAAATACCATAACAACCCATCAAGTAAGTCAAAATCTATCTGATGCAAATTGGTATTTAAGATTATCGGTATTTATTCATCGAAAAAACCAAAAACCGTTCACATTGAAGAAAATAAGTTAGGTGGAATTGAAGGTAATATAGCAAAGGTAGTAAGATTGCAATAGAGAAAATGAAAAAATGAAAAGAGTAATGTCTTGTGTACTGCAAATGAAACATTAATATATATACCACTATTTCTGTGAAATATACGTGTGTGATGACTGGATCTTAGGGCGAACCACTAAACACCGCTTGCTTTGTGGGCGCCGATCAGCTTTTTCTCCTCCGATTGTAAGGATATATCTGAAGAGTTTGGTAATGATTTTGTTTTCAAATTTTCCCTTACATGCAGGAAAAAAATACACCTGGAAAAATTTGCAAACTTGCCGATATAGGACAACAATCCGTTATTCAATTTCGAGCATGCACAATTTGCTTAGTGAGTATACCTTTATTATACTTGAGACCTATCATTGAATTAAAAATGTGTTAACCCAACACAATAGGCGTGAGTTGAATAGAGGTACTTAATGCTTAAACTTTATAAAATTATTACAACAGTTCTTCATTCAAAAAAATATTGAATTGCTAAAATTATTAAAATTGAATAAATTGTAGAAGGTTTTTGAGTGTAACAATTTTGTTTAATCATATAATACATTTATAATTTAAGTTTAATTTACGAACGTATCTTAATTCCTATTTCCTTAATTCTTCATCATTTTTACGTTTATATATTCCCAGTGTATGAATAAGTCGGTTAATTAGGTCAGCGTATAAAATCCAAATTGTTTTTTTAATTTCTAGTTTCTGAGAAGGCATTCCATTGGAAACGGCAGTTAATTGTGTCTGGTTCCTACGCTCGTGTTGTTTCACTACGTAATGTTAGACATTTTAATATTTTCTATTCAAGTATAGAATGTAATATTCTTTTTCTTCTTCAGACAAACAGTCAAACCATAAAAATCAAAAGTCAAAATATGAGTAAGTACAATTCTTCAAAGCAATTAATATTATTTTCTACGTCACAGATAATAATTTTCAGCATTATTTCGCGCCATATTTTTGTTTAAAAAAAGATATATATTTATGTAGACCTGCAGTTGTTACAAAATTACATACATGCAAATATAAAGTTTTTACGTTGTACGAATAGAAAGAGCCATTTTTATGTTACTAATAAACGTTCGCACTCATTATTTACCAATATCAGATATCGATACCGAGTATATATCAATAGCAGGCATACTCAAATATATATATTCATACGGAATGATTAATAGCACTTGATAAACATTCAGTTCAAATATTACTTATGCTTCTAACTTGAATTGTATCATTGTAAAGTAAATTGTTGAATTAATGTTACGACAAATATATTTTTCAATGATTCATTTTCTTCAGTCAAAGCACATAATACAGAAATGTTAATGATCACTGACGAAATAGTTGGCGAGCAGGCACTGTAATATGGGATAACCCAGACAACTGCGATGAGTCAGGAGACTTTGAGATACTTCAATATAATGTTGATGTTCGAGAAGCTGGCCTATATGATGTTTTCTATGCCATTCTTGGAGAATACACAAACACACACATTTCCAATCAATTTGGGAAAAATGTTACACAGGTTAACATTGTAAAACAACTTACGAAGACATCGATGCAGAAACAACTGAGCACTCTTACGTCAAAGAAATTTTTTTTCGAGTGATTTGGTTTCGTTAGATATGCTTTTCTCCTTGTTTGAATAGTAACTGAACACATTTTTCATAAAATCTCTCAAACATTTAGGTTTGTAGGCTTTTATTTTCCACAAAAAATGCTATGATTTAACTTGGTAACAATTTCAAGACTACTTACGAGCAATGAAAGCATACCTGCATTTGTTTAATGTCATTTCAGTTACGTGGAATTCATTACATTATAGCTTATTAGAATGATTAGGCCAAAACACTGCGACTATTAGGTCACACCGTCCGAGAGTCCAGTGTTTGAAAAATTAGTATCAATTATGTTCCGATTGTGCTTCAAATCAATGACTAAAATTGTGGCGATGACAATCGTTGGATTGAAATATTTGTAACTAATTTGGTGTGCCGAAGTTGCCTGTATATGCACAGACAGTTTTGATATTTACAACGACTTCAGAACATTAAAAAATCAGGCAACTACAATTTCTGAAATATTTTTTTTATTTCACGCAGGACCAACAAAGCCGACAATTGAGGTAATTGAAGATAAAAAAAACGTTCACGTCAAGTGGTCTCAATCCATGGGAGCTGTTGAACATTACCACGTTCATGTATTTGACGAATTCCACAAACAAAATCTATCAATTGGGTATAAACAAGGAGGGAAAAATTTCAACAAAACCAAATTTGAGATTGAATATTTTCTTAGTGGAAGATATTACAATTTTGAGGTGACGGCCACGGGGAAAGGCAACAGAATCACGACAAACAGTGTAAAACAACTGATAGGTATTTGCATTCACATTTAATATAAAATTTCACTGCTATATCTCGGATGTGGGTGAGTGGGCAGAATATGCTTTTTCGTTATTTTTCTGCAAATTCATTTTAACACTTACCATTTCTACAGGTGGACGACTGGTGCCAAAGATGGCTACGGCAAAACTAAGTGCCACCAATGCATTTGCAGCAGATATTAAATGGGAACAGCCAGATGAACCTCCAATCGGATATAAAATAACGGAGGTCAATGACCCGGGTATAGTGAAGGAGAATAATCAAAATATTACTCAGTGTAGTTTCACTGGACTAAAAAGAGGAAGCCGATATTGTTTCAAAGTCATGTCTATATACGCAGATGGTGTTGGGGGTGAATGCCGCACGAACGAGATATACACAGATCCTAGTATGTTTTATTTTTATTTTGAATGAAAGATCCCTTTAATACAATGATAAAAACTGACATTTTTACGGAATCTTAAAATGCCAATCACAAAACTTTATTTACCTTAATAACAAAAGCATTTTTCCAAGATATAGGTCGTAAAGGAGTGTTGCTGAACTTTGAATATATATATCTTTCACAAGGAAGATGAAATTTTTAGCAACTCGTCGCCATTGTAAGTCCACTGGATCAAAACTCAGGGACAATATTAGGGCAAAATGGTTGTCCAATTCTGCCGCGGAATAACCCTATTTGATGGAGCAAGAAATCTCAGTCGTAAACTTTTTTCAGGGCCAGCTTTATTGGAAAACGTACGGATAACATTAGATGAAAAACATCCTGACACCACAATATGTGCATCATGGAAACGAGTATTTGATGCTTTGGAATACAGAATTCGAGTTGCATCTTCTAAATCTGTTCTGGAACAAGTTACAAACGAACCTCAAATTGTCATAACATCTCTACATCCAAACACTTGGTACGAAATCAGCGTCGCTGCTTCAAATAAGTTGGGGTATGGAATTCAAGATAGCCAACGAATTCAAACAGGTTTTCTACATAACATGTCTAAACTATAAATAAACTCTGTAATAGGTTAGTGGTACTAGAACAGGGGTGGGCAACCTTTTTCGGCTCGCGTGCCAAAATTGGCTAAATTTAAGAACAAAATTCCTCCGCGTGCCGACCAAAATTCAAAACAATGATTTGTCACTTGCAAAGCAAATTTACACAATAACAAGAGAGCAATGCTCAAATATATGGACACGCAGAACAATTTCCCGAAAATCATATGCGGTGACTTACCAGTACCTGTATAAATAAAGCAAGCAGCTACTACTTAGTTCAGTGTCACCGCGCTGTGTGGTACCAAAACTTCTCTATCTGAGCTTCTAATTGCATTTCATGATTTCTGACCGTCATATATTTTAAGAACACGGTTATTTCGAACAAAACTCGTCCAATTATAACAAAGCACCACATCACAGCAATCAAACAGACAAAAACACGATGGTCGCAAATTGGTTGACAAAGATAATATCGACGTATTGGAAATGCGCACCCCCTTATTTCCCCTCCGACCCGTAATGTCGGACGCTTCTTCTTTGCAAAACCAACGGTTATCACGGTGTTATAACAGCAGATACCACAGTCTACAAATATATTCACACCAAGCGAAGCATTTCGACCACAGTCTATAAATATATTCACACCAAGCGAAGCAGTACAGTACCGGTACGGTTTACCGTACCTTTAGACCACAGTCTACAAATATATTCACACCGAGCGAAGCGGTGAAGTACGGTTTACCGTACCTCTAGACCACAGTCTACAAATATATTCACACCAAGCGAAGCAGTACAGTACGGTCTACCGTACCTTTAGCATCACCGCTATTCACCGGTAATTTCGAAAAACTTTTGAGTAACGACTTTCAGATTCCGCCGTCACGCCAACGTTCGATGTCACGTGATCAAAAAGAGGAGTGCCTGCATATGCGTCAGCAGAACGTTTAGTGACGTCATAGCAAACAAGAACAAATCTCACAGAGTTAACAGGAATATTTGAAATAAATAAAAGTGATAGCCTCCTGGAGAAAAATTTCATCTTCAACCACTACAAATTTCAAAGCAATTGGTCCAGTGATCAAAGAGAAAAGCGGTTTTTTAATATTTCCACTAGGTGTCCAAAAAGTGTCAAAGAACAACAACAACAACAAGACCAACATAATATTGAAACGATCGTTATGTCCACTTCGTGTCCAATAAACCTTTTTTAAACATGTACAGGCAGATTCACTAATCGGAAAAATGTCATCCCGACAAATAAATTTGATTACTTTTCCTATTCTATATCGACGAAACTTCTGCGGCTGCATTGCGACTGATAGAGATTTTAGATTGGGTTTATATTTTATACCTTTCAGAGAAAACTACTGGTTTCATCTTTCAGGCTACTCCTATTACAAGACTTAATAAAGTTCATGACCAATGTTCCCTCTAATTTTTTGTAGTATGTGTGCGCAGAAATTTTAGCGTGTGCGCACTTTTTTGGAAATGACTGATATTTGTGCAAAAACCAATGAAGAAATTTCGGCGTTCTAACCGGGTAATAAGTGGGTCAACAACAAACTTTCTCAACCTGCCAACCGAGCACATTGTTACATTACATCGAAATACGTTTGTGCGTAGTAAATCTATTCGTGTGCGCACCCTCTGAAAGCTGTGTGCGCGCGCACACGCGCACACCTTAGAGGGAACACTGTTCATGACTGAGAACCAAGATTCACAAGCATATGTAGATTAAAACATGGAGAGTAATGCAGTTGCAAAGTTTTTAGGACACAAAAATATTTGGGGAATGGCATCACGCAATAGTTCTTTTTCTGCACTCCTTTCTTGTATTCCCTTCCCTAATCGCTTATATTTCATTCGAAATCAATTTATAACAGTAAGTTAGTAAGTAACTCCAGCTCCAACTAAGCTTTACAACTTCATGAATCAAGCCTAAATGAAGAAAAAGGGTGGCACAGACGAACTATATTATGAAAGAATGTAGCAAAATGAATGAGGCGCTCTTCTCAAAAGCCCACTCATTTGTTACGTCATGATATATTCTTTTGTAGCCATATGCCATGAAAGAACAAAAACAGTTGAAATAAGTAACGGATTGTTAAAAAAGCGATAATGAATAAGCGACCACCGAGTTTCATCAGATAATTCAGAGTCTTGAAACTTTTTGTCTGAAGGAGAATGATTCCGAGGCCTCGCTCGCATGTCAAATGATTGGGCTCGCGTGCCAAGTTTAGTACGCGTGTCAGGGGTTGCCCAATCCTATACTAGAAGATTAAGAAAAAATAAACAAAACAATTATAGCCAAATAATTTTATCACAATCAATGTGCATATTATTTTGAATATGAAGCGCCAAATGATCTCATTTTACTTTAGATCTATCGCCTCCTGAGTGTGTTCGCCTATATGCTGTAACGTGGAAATCAGCTGCAGTAACATTCGCACGAGCTCCAAACAACTCGAAACATTCAATCACGCTATATCAAGCAGAAAATGATATAGTTGTAGACAACGTAGTAACAGATGCAGTTTCATACATATTTGAAGAGTTGAATGGTGACACTGAATATTATGCTTCAGTCCTAATAACAGAAAGAGATCGTGAAAGTATCCGTGTGAAATCAAACTCAATGAAAACTGGTAAGTACGAGGAACTCTGTAAAAGATATAAAAGTATAAATTCGATAAACAATTTACATTGATAATACATATTGCAGTGCCAAATCCAGTAGTAATGAACGATGTGAAATTGTGTGATAACAATCCATCAACTGATATTAAACTTGAATGGCAAGTCGAGAAGTTTTCTTCACGTTACCAAATCGAAGTGAAAGTTGGCGATACAATTGAGAGAATCTTTGAAATTGAGGGCGTTGGAGTTTGCACTTATAGATGTCTAGAAGAAGGACGGCAATACACTTTTCGAATAAGAGCTGTGAACGAGTCCGGAAATGGAAACTGGTCAATCAAAAAAGATATTTCATTAGGTTTGAATGAGTTTAATTTAGCGAATAACCATTTTGATTAATATATTTTTGTAGTATATTCCTCTCAATCTAGCTTATGGCTAATGGTCTACTATTCTCACTATATCACATAAGTAATCAATGCTTACCGCCTAACTCAAGTAGGCTATATATGCACAATATATGTGGATTGAGGCCATATTTCACACTTTTTAAACACATCACAATCTAGCGACTACAGAAATTATAGTAGTGCAGAGTGCAGACGATTGCAAAATCTGACATCGTTCGTATTTAACAATGCGCCTAGATGTCATGCGGTATTTATTGAATTATATTACAAGATTTCACTATTGCTTATGTGAGTGACTCCATTGTCTGACTTTTCACGGAATTCAATAATTGGACCTTTCAGTTTGAAGCGAACATGACCGAGAAATCTGCAAGCTGCTTTTCTTTTCGTAAAATTTGAAAATTAAAGTCACATATTAACTACATCTTCATTTTATTCATACAAAAATACTTCATTTTCACAAGCTCCTCCAAGGATAACAGGATTGCAAGTTAAAAGAGTTGAAAACAAGCTTGAAATGAAATGGATAAGTGCTGGCCCATTTGTTGATCATTACATCATTAAAGCTTTTGTTAATAAAAGCGAAATTATTGTTGAAAAAAAAACACAGGACAATGTTTACACAGTAGACTATTGTGCCCCATGTACTGACGTCACACTGTCAGTAGTCGCATTTAATGCGGAAGCAGTCAAGGGACTTGAAACAACGGAGACTGTTTCTTTTGGTGAGGACGTTGTAATAGAGGTGTTAATCTGTTTTCTCTGAGTTCTGTCAGTTCATACCTCTATGTTTTGTGCATACATCTGTGATTTGTTGACCGTTCAACAAATCTTCATAAAACAGTAATTATAGAAAAATCGTTGAACTTTACTTTTTATTATATTTCTTAGGAGAATTGAAACCGCCTGATTATGTGGTATCGCAACTTGATTCCACAAAACCATGGAAGGTATTTCATCTGCAATGGATGAAGCAGTACGGCGCTCTTACGTACCAAGTTGGAATTTTCAAAGACGGAGCTAACGTTTGTTGGAAAGAGGTAGAACAAAATCAGTGGACTTTTTGTGATGCTCTTCCGCTGACAAAATATGCCATTTCCATATATTCCAAAAACAAAGATTGTGTGAGTGTGGAGTATGCGACTCATGTTATAACGGGTATGTGATAAACATAAAATGTACATCAAAATAGAATAGGTTCATTTTAGTTTTAACAATTATACGACTCTCGCATGATGATGTGGACAAATAACTACAAAAAACTACAGATGCCGTAAATCGAGTAGTTATGCACTTGTGTGACTGCATAGGTCTATATAGGCCAGGGATGGCGAACCTTTGTACGTGAGTGGGTTAAAAATTATATTTTTATCGCGGAACAGAAGAGAGTGGGTCACAGATATTTGATTTAATGTTTGTATCTATAAAAAACTTCTGAAACAAATCTTATTATCTTCTGTTGGTGATGGTGTAGTTTTGGGCTTTACTTCAATCAGAAACTTATATTGGCACTCGATTTTATGGAATTAGAGTACGAAAACACGTATAAATTACCAAAAACGTTCAGGATGATGCGGCAAATTATTTTACGGTTCCAAGCAGTTTGGAGGGAATTCCCCTCCGATAGTGTTATATTTTTTGATCTGCTTTTAACCACATCAGGGCACTTTTATCCTGCCCCATCGTTATTACAGATTTCTGGGTTTTTATTTCAAATCTGAAAGATTTTTTTTCTCAACGGCATTGTAGGCGAGAAACTAATAAATGCAAAGAAGCACCCAGTTCTCGTAATATTCCTGTTTAGTACGCGTGTCAGGGGTTTAACCACATTAGGGCACTTTTATACTGCCCCATCGTTATTACAGATTTCTGGGTTTTTATTTCAAATCTGAAAGATTTTTTTTCTCAACGGCATTGTAGGCGAGAAACTAATAAATGCAAAGAAGCACCCAGTTCTCGCATAATTCCTGAAACAGTCTGCAGATGCATTTCCGAAAGAGACGAGAAATGAATAGATCCATTGCATTATGTCATAAACGATGTCAGAGCCAATGAATAGCTGAATAACAGTACACATCCGTGCAGGCATGCGTCCAAGATTAGGGGTTTTGAAGATTACCATATCGATCCGGAAATTATCAGTTTGAATATGAGCGATCGCAGCCCTGACTGCCCAACGGTACATTTTAATAGTTTATTTATTGTTAGATTAATTTAAGGCCGGCTTTATAAATTTTTATCACTGATATTTTAGTATTTTTTTTTAAATTTTATTCGTGCCTTCGTGGGTCACGAATAAAACGCGGGGGGTCACTTTGTGACCCGCGGGTCAGTGGTTCGCCATCCCTGATATAGGCTATACAGGAAACTTTGATTTTGTACGCATTGTCCCAAATTATACTTCGCAGGTGCGCCAATCATTGTAGATTCGGATAGCATTACAACAGAACCCGACGAAAGACAGCCTTGGAGAATGGTACGAGTAAAATGGGAACGACCAGAAAATGTAGAGAATTTTAAAATAAAATCTAGTATCGGTAATCAAGAATTTATTACTAACAAAGAATGTTTCGATCTTGTAAATGAAACCAACGAACGCACCGTGACAATCTCAATTAAATCAGGAATTCGCGATGTGTACACCGAGGAGGAAGGAAAAATAACTTTCATCATGGGTAATATATTTCCTCCTTCACCAAATTTCTTGTTTACTAGGTTTATTAGAATCGATCAATAATTTTTCGAAAACATACAATCCATTCCACAAGTATATCATTTTGAACTATACACTCCAGGGTGGATGGATGTATTGGCTAGCAGTGAACCAGTAATATATTTCACCTAACCAGAATCACAAATCGATATCTGTGACTAAAACAAAACCCAAAAATATAATAGATGATGTAACAGTCTTGCTAATCATTAACACAAATGTATTTATGTAACACCGTTTAGTCAAATGAAATGTACTGAAATGTATTAGTCATAGTGTACGCACAGCACTGTCGAATCACTTCGAATAGTCAAACTCATTCCTACTTCAGCACCCTTGCAATATACGCCTACGGATCCACTATATAGGCAAAAGTATAGAAGAAATATCGGTACCAATGCACCCGCCACAAATTCAAAAATAGTATTCCATCTTTGCATGTAGACCACCGCCGATAGTTGACAAAAAGAGCAACAGTTTCGTGTCGAGCAGTTCTGTAATGCGCCATGTCAAAGATAACGAATTGAAATATCTGGAAGATTTCAAATTTTTTGATTTACTATTTATCTGTCTGGCATTTTCATCTGTAGCCTAAAAGAGCTTGAGATATGATAAAGAATTCCAGAATTTTTATCTGATTTTGATCGATTTTTACAAAAAGGAATTATTCAACGTTTATTCCAGATGTGGTGCCAAAAGTACGTCAGGATTCTCTGAAAATTAAGGTGAATGAAAACACTCCATGGGAAACAGCTACAATAACATGGGAAATTCCAAGAGGCGTTGATTGGATGAATATCAAAATAAAACCTCAAAGACAAAACACTTGGAGCGTAGACAAAACATTGCACAATAAAAATTCATTGGAATTTTTGAGGAATAATGTTGAAAACTTCTATGAATTCCGTATATTCACCGGATTTTCCAAACAATCATTTCACACTGAGTTTACCGCCAAACCATTTTCATTGGGTATGTATTAATCGATTCCATAACAGTTTTTTTTAATAAAATCAATTTAAAATAATTTTTTTTCACCAGCAAACTTTCCTATCATAAAATCCAAATCAATTGAGATTGAATTAGATGAAGAAAAGCCGTGGGAGATTGCGAATATCAAATGGGAGATGCCTCGTTTTCTGACTTGCGTTAAAGTCCAAATTAAATGCAAAGCATTAGTGGAAAACACCATTCAGAAAGAAGTGATTCAAACCGACAACACTTTGAGATTCATTCGCACCGAAAAACATCACACATACGATATTAAAATATATTCTGGCTGTAATGGAAATCTATTCCAGTCGGAACCAACAACAAAAACATTTACAATGGGTTAGTAAGACTATTCACTGCCTATTTTTGTGCAATTATTTACTGATTATTAAATGGTGTAACTGTATGTGTACATTTTGTATGTTTTGTTTATATTTTGTTTTGGTGTCAGACGAATGGCATAATCATAACAATTACTCTTTTTGAAATAAAAAAATATATATCTATATATATATATCATTTTGTGACACATTTTTCAGATTCTCCGCCCGCTGTGTTCAAAGATACCATGAAGTTTGAGCCAGACGAAGAACAGCCATGGAAATTGGTTCGACTTCAATGGGAAAGACCAAATTTGGTTGAAACGTTTAAAATATTCAGCAATGTTACTGAAGAGTGTATCACCGAAAATGATTACTTTGACATCCTGAACACAACATCAAAACGTGGAATAAAGGTCAAGGTTTATTCTGGGATTGGAAAAGTTTTTACCGATGTCGCAGCGAGTAAAAAATTTGAAATGGGTAAGTTAGCGTTCTGAGTGATTTCGATAATTGAATTTCTAATCGTTAACTGAAAAAATTCAACTTTCATTCATAGCATAGAAGGCAAAGTTGACACCTACCAATGCATTTCTACCAGGTATTACCTTGTACTGTTGACACCCCATGTGAATTTCGTAATTCAATCTCAATTTGGAAATGAATTTATTTGCAGTTCATATATATTTACAGCGAATATACCGAAGTTTGATGATGTGGATGTTACTGTGGATCTCGACAACGAAAAACCGTGGGAAATTGCTTTTATTAGATGGAAATTTCCTAAAGGCGTTAAATGGGTCAAAATGCAAATTAAGGGTAGCGGCGCTCTTTCAAAGACCCCAATAACAGTAATTACCAATAAAGAGTTTTATAAATTTACACGTGAAAATATTGAGACCAAATACACGATCAAATTTTATCCCGGATATTCGAGAGACATCTTTTACGATATTGCGACGTCCCATGAATTTATTTTGGGTGAGTAATAAAATTTGTTTATTCAATTTTTGAAAACTTCAATTGTAACTTCATACCTGGATAAAAAAATAAATAAAATGTACATGCCTAATACTAAGTGCCTACTATCTCTAGCTCCACTTAGATCCGACGCCACGCAAGCCGCTTTGCACGAGGTCCCGCACTAGTCAAGTTCGGCCTTGCTGCCCGTCATACGCCATTGATGTTTAAAATACGTTGAATCTAACTAAGTCAAGTTTTCTATTTTCTGTAGACAAATTCCCAATTGTTTCCCCGGAGTTCATCGATATAAAAATTGATCAAGAAGAATCGTTGTCAATTGCTCATATAAAATGGATAATGCCAGAAGGCTTGGAATCAGTCAAAGTTCAACTTGTTTCTAAACAAATGGATGATGAGTCTTCTATTCATTTTGATGAAATAATTTCATCTAATTCTGTACGAATTTCCTGCGATAAAGAACCGAGAAGATATGAACTCAGAATTACACCGGGATGTACGTCTCGGAAAGTATTTTCTGACGAGCATTCTGTAAAAACGTTTCAAATAGGTATATATAGGCCTAATTATGTCTCGCTATCAATTTTCAAAAATTTAGATTTATCTAGATACCCTCTTACTACAAATTCTAATTGCAGGAAGTATGTGAGGAACAATTCAACAAGGCGTGATATCTTTCTACACACCTGAATATATCAAATTTTATATCGAATATATAACGTGGATCGCACAGAGATGAACACAACTAAAATTGTATTTTTACCATTGCTAAAATTTAAAAGGGTGGTCTTCTGAACTTTCTCATGAAATTCTTATTCTTCTTTATCCGCCAGTGATTTGACTTTTTGCGTCAGGTAAAATTTCCCCAGTATAGTATTTGATTGCAGAGCGAAACTTTCAAGTGTTCTCATATTTGATGAGTAGATAGTTTTATATATTGCTTAATAAACCTTTTACATTATTTCATATTTGTTTAGTTGTGAAGATTTATATATTTATTGTGTTTTCATATAACTCGTTGTAGTCAATAAATGTACCATATTGTGCACATAAGACATTCAGGGGGTTCTAATTTGTAGAGCGGAACGATATGGTCAATTCTTCACTATACTTTATACGTATCCTTACGTTTGAAGTCGTGCAGTCAAAAAAATGATTTTTTTCTACGAAAATGCCTGTAGGGCTCATAGCGATCTATGAACTATATTTATTTAGTAGGTAGTCGCTCCAGCTACGTAATATAAACAGTTTCAATAATGAGCACAGCACTTTGCAGTATTCTACGCATGGAACAAAGCGACCGTTGAACAACTTTAAACATGAAAACAATATAGATTGCGATTGTTCGATGTTGTTGAATATCATCACAATAGGTTTTGCCGATATAATGTCTCTATCTATTAGACACTATGTGGAACTGTAGATCGTTTTGTTAAATTGATGTTGGTATTCTTCATCTTGTTGCTGTGAAAAATCACTTTGCTCTTTAACTACACGACCAATTACTTTGACGTTTTCAGTGATTAAAGAATATTGTTGTCGCTGAAAGCTTTTCATTTCGAAAATTTCTGTTGGCTGAACCAAGATAGGATAGGATTTACATATTTATCCCGGGGGAGAGGAAAGCCGATAAGACGGCTTATCCATATACCACGGCCTCTCGTCCGGTTACCATTCCAAGTCGGGTATGGGATTAGTTTCTACTGTATTGTTTGTTTTCGGAAGCATGGACTTGGTGGTGGAGGAAGCCGTAACCGACCAGCGGTTACGTGAACCACCCAACGACGGCGAGGAGTCCAGCAATCCTCTCGCACATAACCATTCCTGCATGGGATTCGAACCTGCGAACCCACGCAGAGTAATTAAAGGTGCGGTGGCGAGCGTATTCCTAACGCTTAGCCCGTTGAGCCACACCGCCGCGCCAATGTATATTCTGGAGCACTCAGAGGCTTACTCGCGTAACACAACATAAGAGATGAATACCAAACATGAATTCGATCAGTCACCACGTCATTTGTACAAGATATATATATATATATAATACCAGTAACATTCCTAATGCAAGATTTCGAAATGCCAAAGCATGTATGGATACCAATATTGAAAAAGACAAGAAGATGACATTTACATAGTTCAAAAGTACAATTACTAGAAGCATTTTCGCTTGGTGCTCAACGTTTGGTTGGTTCTCTAATTTTACCCACAAAGCGCTAATCACAGGTTTCTCATAAATGCGATAAGATTATTAAAACCATATAATAGTGCTATACTGCCTCTTGTCCGGTAAACTTGGGCATGATGATGGCACATCAATTCAGATGAAGGTTTATTTACAAAATGGAATAAGACCTCAAATGAGGAAAAAGGCATCTACAATTCTAAAAAAAAAATGAATTGTGGCCCTGGATGAACCTCGTCTGCGGCATCAGAATTCTGTTTAACAATAGCCACTTCTTACGCAAATCTACCTCCCAAATAACCCACTTACGGTGGGATTCACCTCTAAATGTCAAAAAATAATGCAATAATGTATTTCATTTTATTGTGCGGAATACTCAAATTTTGGTTATCCTGGAATAAGCGCCCTTCACTTTTATGCTCGACCTTTCATGACCCTTTGTTGAAATGTTTACTTCATTCTGAGAACATATGACTGCCAAAGGAGTTTTTCCCAAACATCAACATTACTTCCAAACTCCCCAATGAGTTAGTCTTCTCAATACTACAATGTGACTGCTATAATTGATATCTGCATCATTGCACCAATCTATATGTTACGTATCTTCCAGCAGTTTCACTTGGTCGCACAATTTTAACTACTTGTCCACGCTTCAATCCAAAATACCTAGCCACAGGATCACCACCCTGAATTCTAGGTAGTTGATGGTCTTTCAATTTATACCTAGCAAGAAGCTCTGCTTTTTCTTCAGGATTCAAAACGACATGCTCAGGAACAAGCTGTAAGAGAAGCATCCATATTATTAAAGGGAATGAAATATCACAACACAATTCGTTACAGACATATTCTAGAGTCTCTGATCACGTCATTGTCCCTGCCAGGTATCTTTAACTTGCCGGTTATAACCATGCCCAACTTGGAAGGATAACCAAACACGAATACTACACGACTATGAAGATGTACTGGCATTCCTTCTCTCATGAGATAGCATTGACAAATTTTTCAGACATTAAAAACATATTTTCCGTCTGTCGCAAAATATTTCAACTTCTCCGCTTATATAGAAAAAAATGGAAATTTCCAATCAAGAAAATCTTAATTCCTCTTTTCAAATTACTTTCAGCTGATATGTGGCTTTCTAAAAAACAATTTCTTTGTAGCAAGTTCTCGATAATTCAGTTTCGAGGTTTTAGTATACCAACAACAACAATATTCAAATCCTAAACTACCAGTGTTGAATAGAACAGGATCAAGTCAGTAAAAATTTACTTGTGTCTCTAGCTCAATGATCCTAATGAATGAAAATCGTGAAGCGGTTATAAAAATAATGATTGCTAAATTGTCTACTTAATCCAAAATGGAAGGCGCTACGTTATAAACTACAATGGACACTGTCGCACCAACATCTGAAATATAATGAATTGTGTTTTGTTGTGTCTATTTGGCTTCATTATGCTGGCAAAGCAATGAAATCTATCAATGCTACGAAAGAAAACTAACATACTTGAAACCATTATATGGTTAAACATATTCATGTGAGCTTTCTTTGCTGAAACGTAAGACACTCGAAAGCAGAAGACAACACACAGAAATAAATTTTGTGCAACAATAAGTTTAATATAATTCCAAGTAGCTAGCATCTTATATTATCAACAAAATATACTGATCAGATACATTTGTTGCATTGTAACAATAAAATAACTTACCTCATGCTCAGTTATATTAATCAGCAGCTCTTGCTCAAGGAATTGTTCAAGAATATACTTAGGGGCCATATCAACCAGAGATTGTTTGGCAGACGGCGTCATTCCAGACTGAACAACTATGACTGCTCTTTGAATATTTTCTTCTTGCATTCTTTGACAATACATCTTGATATTTTTTATACCAACTTTAGGTTCCTCTGTGAACAGGAGAGCATATTAGAAAGCTTAATGACAAATCACGTATCACGCTACAGACCTTTTCCGTCACAAGACTGATTGAGGGTATGATTTTGTCTCACACTCATCTCGGGAGCTGTTTAAAAATAATAATTTGCAAATACACATAGATTTACGGGACATTTGGGCATACTTATGGGTGTTGCTGGTATATGCCGCTATGGTGGAGAATAAATATATATAAATTCACACGTATTTGTATATAACTATTTTTAAGCAACTCACAAGGCATCTGAAAACCAGAACTCAAACTGTCTCATGCCCCCTAGTAGTAAGAAAAGTCTGTGGTTATATGGTACAAAACGTCTGTGAATGATATAATGATATGTAATCATACCTGGAAAAAATACAAACATCTGATCTGTAGGATCATCATTATGTGCAACAAGAACAGTCAACTCTTGTCTAGCTGGGTGCCTTTCACTTGGTTTGTCGCCAAATTCTTCTTTAAATTCTTCCAATGTTTGATCCAGTTCATGTTGAGTTACCAGGTATCCCCTATCATGACACAGCTAGAAACACAGCAGTTTGCGTCAAATTAAAAGGTTACTTTTACTTATACCCAGACTTTATTTGTTAACATTACTAGCAAATGAAGAATGAGCAAAATGAATATAAGAGATACAGAGCTTGAAAAGACGTAACATTTGTTGGGACTCGATGAAATAGACAAAATGTGCACAGTTTTTTTTCTCATACTGTCATACTCAATCAACAAATAATAATGCATGCATGTATTTGCCTAACTCTGTCCTGACTATGATTCACGAATCCCATATATCAGTGACTATTCATGCTACTCAAACAATTTATCTTTTCAACAGTATTCAATATTATATTAAGAATGTTACAAACATATACTATGTGCAGGGTGTCTCAAGTCAAAAGTAAGTATACAGTTTTAATTTTGATTTGCTTTTCAGGTACTCATCATAGAGCGTTCATTTCTTCAGAAAACAAAGTATGGATAAGTAGTAAAATTTAGATATTGTTTGCATCTTCATCAACCTGTCAACCCACAGAATGACAATGAGGGATGTTGAAAAATGCAAACGATAGCCAAGTTTTACTACTTATTCATACTATATTTCTGATATTTGGATATATGTATACCATATTATATCTTATCTACCTGCATCACTGTTTTTCGAATTCTCCAGAGCCTGTATGTTTCCGATTCATCATCCATTACACAAGATGTTCAAAGTTACAATAGTCAGATAGTACCTTGAAGTAATATAGCAAGTAGGGTACCTTAGAGGCTGTTTGATAATAATTCTGGTATTGAAGTTAAAGTGTTAACTTACAGACTTAGGTTACTTTTTATGAAATGGCATATAAAGTCTGCAAAAACAGAAGCAGTAAGGTTATTACCGGTACGGTAACTTCATGACATACGGTACCGGTATAGGATTTACAGAAATAGGATTTACATATTTTTCCGATGAGAGGAAATGCGATAAGACTCAAATCATATGTTGAACCAAGGCCTCTCGTCCGGTTACCAGTCCATGCCAGGAACACTGCTGTACTGGAATAGGTTTAGTGTTTAGTCAGCCAGTTATTCAAGTTCTTATGCACAAACTTGATGGCGGAGGAAGCCGTAACTGACCAGCGGTTACGGTATCGTACGTGAATCACCTTACAGCCCTTTGCCCTACGACAGCGAGGAGTCCAGCAATCTAGAACCTTCGAATACCATACCGGTAGGCTGCAACGGCCGGCAACCAACTTGCCTAATGTTCTGTGTATTCTGATGGCTCAGAAAAAAGCATCAAAACAATATTTTATGAAACCGATATTTTCTATTCCATGTCTGGATGCAAAATTAACATGAGCAAATGCCAAGCTTTGTACCTGGGGGGAAACAATCATTGCCAAAATTGTCCTATGAAAGATCGAGGACTTGAGTGGAACCCAAAACATTTTAAATTGTTGGGTATTTTTATATATGAAAATGATGCTGACCTTTATACTGTGAATATTTTGCCAAAACTCCAGTATAGGGCAACAAAGATTCGACCCTATCTGCGTGTCTACACTCCCGTGTTATTGAACACACGTTAACAGAGTGTAACTCCGATCTTGACTCCTTCAGAGGTCAAAAAGCACACAATGTATTGAATACCAATTGTTATATTGTAAAGTTGCACAATCGAATTGATCCAAATAACGAATTACACTTGAAACCTTAAAGCAAGTATATGTGATGAAACCAAATTTCTAACTAACAAAGAACGGCAAAGACAAGCTACACTGAGCGAGAAAAATATATCATAAAGGAAATGAATTGGGACAACGACCTTGTTTCAGGCAAATAACATGCACTACTAACAATAAGTGGTGAAAATATTACAATACACAGTAACTATTCTTATGTACTTGCTACACCAGAAAATGAAAATGATTGCACAATTATGGTCAAGAAGAAATCTTGATTTCCTTGAAATGGGGGGGGGGGGGGGGGGTTAATATGATAGATATTGAATCATTTTTTATTGGTCTTAAATTAAGATGGGTTAAATTTTTAGTAAATGATGAATTTGATGCTTCGTGGAAATCTATAGAATTTTTTTTTCTAAATTTATATGGAGGAATGGATTTGTTCTATGGAAATGTATATCCATTTGGAATATTTATTAAAAACATTAAGTCGAGATGTTTAAGAGATACTCTGGGATGGGTTAATATGATAGATATTGAATCATTTTTTATTGGTCTTAAATTAAGATGGGTTAAATTTTTAGTAAATGATGAATTTGATGCTTCGTGGAAATCTATAGAATTTTTTTTTCTAAATTTATATGGAGGAATGAATTTGTTCTATGGAAATGTATATCCATTTGGAATATTTATTAAAAACATTAAGTCGAGATGTTTAAGAGATACTCTATGCTATTGGCATATTTTTAAATCTAAAGTTGTTACTGATGTAAGCCACTGTGGTTCAATAAAAAGATATCAAGTAAAGGGAAAATGTTATATATTGAAGATTGGAATAGAAAGGGTATTTGTTTTATTGAAGATATCTGTGATTCTAAACACCAAATTGCAATGTTTCCAATCATTTTTCATCATTATTGCTTTTCTGATTTTTATAATAACATGCAATCATATTTAAAAGTTTTATCATGTATACCCCAAGCATGGAAAAACAATTTAGTAAAAACCCCTCAAGCCAATCCACATCTTAGTCTATTGGAAGATATTAGAAACATCGATAAAACTTCCAGATACATATATGATAAGCTTCGTCATGTAAAAATCTTGATGCCTAAGGATAAAATAGAAAAATGGTCAAATGAACTGTGCAAGAACTTGGATAATTGGTTGACGCAGTATGAAAAAGTTTTTAATTGCACTATTGAATCGAGACTTCGATCCTTCCATGTTAAATTTGCTTTGCGAGCAGTACCTACAAATGACCTATTATTTAGGATAAATAAGACATCAAGTCCGAAATGTACATTTTGTGAAAGGAATGTTGAAACCATGTTACATTTATTTATTTCTGTGAATTTGTGCAACAATTTTGGGAAATAGTTAATGCACGGCTAACTGTTGAATATGGTTTAAATCTTAATCTGACATATAGAGAAATTTTAATGGGGGTAGAGCAAAGCCAAGGTATAAACTGTGTTTTATTGAGTGCACGATATTATATCTATAAATGTAAACTACGTAATGAAAGGCCTCAATTTGATCAATTTTTATATATTAAAAAGGAAATTTAACTGTGAAAAAATTATTGCAACTAGAAAATGTAAACTGTTGAACCACATTAAGAAGTGGAAAGTTATCATGAACTCATTTTTTTAAAGTGCAATTGTGTTTATGTGTTATATCGTGTGAATAAAAAGTGATGTTTTTAATAATAATAATAATGAAAAAAAAAAAAAAACTTGCCTAATGTTAAACACATGGGCTTTGGTTAAACCATTGAGGTGTTATATACACCTCAATGGGTTAAACAAATTCGTGGACGCCATCTTGTGCCATATTTGGGAAACGCGAAACAATGCAGTCTTATGGGAAATTTTCGTCGTGTTGTTGTACCGAAGTCCGCTGTTATAAGGACTAGAATGAAACTGAAGGGTGGATTTTGAACTTTAAGATATATGCTATCTAAATATATAACGCAATTAAGAATAAAAAACAATCTAATGCGTTAAATATGACCCCAAACACAGCGTAGAACCATTTTTGGTTCATTTTTTTAAAGATTTTACAGCGATACGCTAATTTGAGGCAGTAAAATGTCTCTGCAACAATCCTACAATGTCATTTGTTCTTCTAGCGCAGCTTGGAGCCGAGCAGTAAGGCATTATTGAGCTTGACAGACGAAAAATGTTAACCAGAAAATAGAAACGGCCATTGGAGCACGAATAAATACAACTTTACATCTGTGACGTCATAAGGAACGCCATTGTCAAATGGGTAATTATGACGATTAGAATGGCCAATCTACTTCGGAAGCAACTGGAACCGGTATACTTGTCTTCAAGTTTCGTAGCGCACATCTGGTAACTAAATAAATTCTTCAGTTTTGTGTGAAAACGAACATAATGAACGCATTACAGCTTGTTCCACAATTCTAGTGCGAAATTGAATATAAGAGGTTCCCGGAAATTCAATAACCATAAGTTTACAACACATACATAAGAACTATGCAATTCGAGAGCCCTACAGCACACTAACACAAATGTATTCCTGTAATGTTTTGCCTGACCAAAATCGGACTTCCTCAGTCAATCATAATTTATTAGGTAGATTACGAAAAATATGGCATACATGTAACCAGCAACAAAAAATACTTTAATTGTGTGACAGGAATCGGGAGTGACCTCGAAAGCAGCGACACCAACAACGCTGATTCACATAAATAAATTTTATGTAATAACCACAAGCAGTTTACAACAAGAACAGCATAAAAAGCTACATCCGTTTTATAGAAGCTATCAAACGTATTTATCTTTAAGCAATGAAGTCACAAATTAACATCGTGAGCACGAAAACACAAATAAATCAGTTATTTCTCACTTAGAAATTTACCGCAAAAGTCAAGAAAATTAACATAATGTACATAACATAGTGAACAGAAATATTACAATTTACAATTAATCTTTTTTTAGTTTATGTGGTTATGTATTTGAACAAAGGCAATAATATTTCTAGAAACAGGACTACGACACTAACAAATGTCCGAAAAACAAAATAAATAAATGATACTTATTAAATCAACAGTAATATCTAATTCACTTTCTTCTGAATTGTTTTCGAAATCCACTATCTCAAAAATGGACTTTTTCTCTATAAGTGTACTGTGATTTTGCAGTCAATACAAAAACAAAAATCTGTGCAATTTAAGTTGATTTTGGCACACTTTCATAAATTATTTTGACTATTTTTCTTACACTTGCAGTTTGCCAACTCAAGAACTGATTTGAGGGCCACATGCTTCTTCAGTGAATCATTGTTGGGTGGAGAGTATAATCCTTATGTTTCACAGTGTTAAATAGACGTGCCCTGGTATCATTTACATTCTTCATATCCTCTTCAAATTCCTCAGCTTTATTTATTAATGCCTCGTTAACTTCAAAAGATCTTCATAGTCGAGGGAAAAAAATGAATTGAAAATCTCAATGAAGTCTCCAACATGAATTTGATGGGCAGTTCCAATTGCAGAAAAGTGCTAAAGTATTTCAATATGAATAGCCCATCTAAGCTGTTTGCAACTATTATGATTCTCATATACCTTTAAGCTTCAAGACTTCTTGTTTAATCCATTTTATAGCACTGATAGCAGCAGGGATCAGAGCCTGCGTTAGGTCGGATTGGTGGAACATTGCCGTTTTCTTTTGTAGTACAGTATCTAAAATGAGGAAGAAAATAATATTTGGAGCAGCATGAGTTTAAAAATACCCCTAAACACTAACTAATACCTTGAATACATAATGCATTTTATCTGATGTACTAAATGAGCGTATATATGCTCATTGCATGTACTACAGTCCAGCAGTGTTTGCATACCATTACCGGTACTAGACTATATCTACACTAAATTTTGATATATCACAGTCTGAAATGTCCTATGACAGTATGAGTATGGACTATAGACTATATTTTAAAACATCAACTGTTTGTCTACAACTTGATTTCTCACCTCTCAATCGTTTCCAATGCTACCTTTCTTTCCACTCCGGCATAACTTATCATTGCTTCCCAGGTTCTTGTCGACTCTATGAATTTAGATTTAGACCAACCGACATTAGTAAAATTGATTTTCTTCTCTTTCACACAACCGTGCATTACAGAAACAGCCATTCATTTCTATTTCCAAATATGCTGTGGCCTATATC